TATGAACCTCACTGTTCCCATGTAGTCCAGGTGTTAGATGTGGGAGTCTTCAATTTGGTGAAGAAGAGGTTGAAGACCTTACTCCAGGACACGCCCAGTGGCCGTCTGGGACTGAAGCCGTTTAAAGAGGAGGTTTTGGAGTGCTACGAGCAAGCCCGGAAGGACACAATATCCTTCCTCAACATCAGAATCGCCTGAAAAAAGACTGGGATATGGCCGCACGACCAGTCGCAAGCGTTGAGGTCGAAATATGTGATTCTGGAGGACCAGGGGGTGGCCAGGGTCCGGCAGAGGGACCCTAAGGCTTCCGAGCGGGCCACAACACCAGACTTTTTGGAGATGGTGGCTAAAACCACCATCGAGACACCCTCTGGAAGCAGGGCTTTACGGGAGAGTGCAAAAAAGCTCTGGAAGAAGGACCCTTCTTTCAGGGGCCCCTCTGTGCGGCTGTTGGTGCGGAAGGTTAGCAAGGCCATAGACACACAAGCTGCCATCATTGCAAATCTACGGGACAAAAATGAACTGCTTGAGGCTCAAGTGGCTAAAAAGGCTAATAAGACTCGAAAGAACGTTAAACCAAGCCGGGGCACTACGTTCGTCACCATGGCTAACGTACGGGTGGCTAAAATGGAGCTGAGGAACAGGAGGGTTTATAGGGACTCTGCTGCAGATAAACCCGTATCCGACAGGCTAATTCGAGTCCCTGGTGAAGAATCAGGTGCGGAATCGGATTCTGGGAGCTGTATTATGGTAGGAACACCACGACCCTAGTGTATTCAGTAATTATGGTGGTTGTAGATGGCTTCATCTGGAGGGGGGTGATGTGGTGGATTGGTGGCCCGCAGGGGGGTGATTGATGTTACCCTCTTGTTTTTAACGAATTGTGTTCCATTCGGGTGAGCTGGCACGCTCTGCAATGGTACGTTGCCAATTGTTGGCCCAGATAGAACTATATTGTCTGTGGGCTATTCCAAGGGCTTTCGCATGTTTGGATCTATAGGAAAGCGAGGATCCAAGTCGCGGTGCATCTCAGAGCTTTTCTTTTACTGTACGATGGTGCATCCCAGCTCAATCTTTCCAGCTAGTCCAGTACTACAAACTGTATGCGTAAATTTACCGTTTCGATGTGTCCCACTCTTCAAGGTTTGCAGAATACCAGTGAGGAAAGCCGAGCCTGCGACGTCCGGCAACTCCAGCGGGCTCATGATATGACTCACCTGGGTCGCTTCGTTGGGCCCCAGAGCCGTATTACCGTACCACCCTTCTCTCTTTGACCTACCAAATCAAGTCGTAAATATAGTACCTATCTCACACCACCTACTCCTTACCGTTTTAGCGCTCATACAGTGCCAGGAAGATTAATACCGGCCATTCCAAGCCGAAATGTGCTAACTGCATCCCGGCCAGCCTCAACCACCCGTCCGCACGACGTAAAAATCGATATACTTCATTTCTCATATAGAAATCAGCCAGAGGTCGGTACTGTGCAACTCTTGATTGTGAATTTACTCTCTGCTCAGCACCGGCTTAGGTACAACGAGTTATAAAAACGACAGACCGACAAACGAAAGCAGAGAGACATTTCTAAGAAGCTAGAGCGTGAGATGACAGACAGGCGGCTGGTTAAATGCTCCTTTGCTGGAAAAACTGACTAAGAGGGGGGGTGGTGGGCCGGTCGGTATACAATACTTAAAGATCTCATATATCACGAATTCCAAATATCTCACAAGTAACCTTTTCATTCCTTGAGACATGTTGCTGGGTCGATGTCTCATTTCCAGAAACATGGGTTCTTGGTCTTCCTCTCTACGGTACCACGAGGTATCAGCGCCTAGCACGAGAGAACATGCGTTCTTCTTGTGATGGTCTTGAATGAGAAGGTGGGCCAAGTGCCCGGCCCTGGTGATATTGAGGAAGAGGCAGTTGTGGCTTCCACAGCTGCTGAGAGGAGGTCCGACCAAGTTGCGGCGTGGGCAGTCCATACCTGCATGCCTTCTGACCCAAACACCAACCTGCAGAGCCATATAGCTGGGGACCCGACCTTTCATTGCAGTGGATGGCATTCTACTCTGCTGATTGACAAATGTTACATGTACAGTATTATTATGAGTCACAGACAGAAAGAAGGTGTGCGTCGCATGATGTTTGTTTATACGGTCGCTTTTTCCATGGCCTGGCCAATTTTGATTCGATATAGGTCTGGGGTGCATGGGCCAGGCAGGAAGCCGGTGTGCCAGGATTAACTACATGTGGGGGTAGGAGACCAACAAGGCCAAACCAAGTGGGAACTGCATGCAGCTATCGTGAGGGGTGCAGCGTTTCTGCCATTAATGCACGCGCGAGCGACAGACCTCAACCTTGGCACTGATAATTAACGCATGCAACAAATTCAAAGTAGCGCAGCTTGGTACACCGGAACTTGTTACATGGTACGAACTGCGTGGCGTCTTTGATTGGCCTTCGGGGCATCGGGGTCCTGAGATACCCTCGAGTAACACTGCAGCGGCCTGATCATTTAACATCGAATTCGATAGCAATTGTGTCGCGAACTTGAGTACAAGGAAAAGGGAAGTGATACCAAAAGTTAGAATAGCTAAACTCAGCAAACGGCGGTCTGAGAACAAGGACATGGACAAATGTTGTCCTCGAACAATCACGTGGATTCGCGACAAACTGGGAGAACCTCCAGACGAACCAATTGACTTCTTGACGCGTCACTCGGGGGGCTGCCATCTCCGTCAAATATATGAGAGAGCTGCATACACTGGTGAGAATCGCCGGCTCTGCCCGTCCTTGGGGGCTAGAAAATCACAAGTATCCCCACCGGGAGGGTTCTGTCGCTTCTGGCTTTCTAGTCACACGACTTCTTGGGGCCGTGACTATGAACCTCACCTGCATTGATCTCAGAATCAATGTCCAGTGTCTATGGTCACTAGATGACCATTGGTTGGCCGGCGTTTTGTGCCTCGTCCTAGACTTGGAGGGCTTGCATTGATAGGTAGTATCTTATGCTTAGGATGGAAACATTTCATTCGCAGTCAGGCGACACTGTCTGCCAAGGAGCGGCCATGGACAGATTCTGTGGACGCCAAATGCGAGCAATGTAACCTAACTCGTGTGAAGATTGGAGTCCGGAAGTCTCCCAGATGCCTCGCATGCAAGACCGAGTCGTCAACATTGATCCAGAAAGACATGGTATGTGCATATCAATAGCACACCATGTCACGCATACAACGCGTCTAGCACGGCTGGGCGAGCACAGATTAAGAAGCATGGAATGGTAGCGATGTCTATATAAAGACGCCTCAAACTAGACTTTTTTTTTTCTAAATTTCAGATGGATTTCTCTCTATGATTCTTGAAGCTTTGTTGAACCTGTCTTGAACCTGTCTTGAACCTGTCTTGAACCTCTCTTGAACCTCTCTTGAACCCTTCGGTAGGTCCCCGCTATCTCATAGATTCTCCTACTTACTCCAGAATACAAGAAGAGAAAACAGCTATGGCAGTACACACAGACGAGATCGGTCTTGTGGACGCATTGGAATGTGCCACCTGCCGAAACAGTGTGAATGCTGTACACGCAGACTGCGGTGCATGCTATTCATGCTGCAACTGCTCCAAGAAGTCGAAGGAATGAGATAGGGGATGGGCAAGAGATATCAATAACTTTATCCACACCTGGTATGCTTTAAAGACATCTTCTAGGCAGATCAAATTATAGCTGACATCCCAGGACGTTTTCCACCGTCACGACTTTCTTTCAGCTGGCTTGGAGTCCAGCTTGCGTTGAGCTTGTCTACTTCTCCTTATTTTTCCGCCATAGTTGATATGTATTGAAATGTCAAAGGTGCCTATATGAAGGTGTTGTTAAGGAGTGAAATGTAAATCTATGTATGATTCTGTGGTTCATTGATCGTAAACCTTAACAGGCCAACTGGTGCTGTGAGAGCAGATTTCACATTACTTATTCGTTGGCAGGTGACTAGATAGACCGGAGGAAGCTTAGTGCACCCCGCTCGGAAATACATCGGTCCACTAGAGTTTGGAACTACACTATACCATATATGGTAAGGCTCTCTTGATAGAATCTTGGCACCTCTGACCTTGAGAACCGAACACGTTGCTGAAGAGTTGCTCAATTTGGTATCTGGGATTGTTTACAATGTCAACTGCAACTACCTAAAGTCGGGAGACTTAGGTGAGGAAGACGTAGTGTTCTACGTCCTTGACCAACCTTGATCCAAGTCCCTCTTACTTTACCCTTATTCCTTTACCTTCCTGACACCATGTCAAAAAATAGTGATTCTCCAGAAGCAGCGAACCCCGCAAACCATGGCCTGCCGCTGCTGCTCGACTACGGCTGCTCACACTGGAGAAGCAGTAGCCAACGTGCAGCAGACTTGTATGATGCTGGGAATAAACTTTGGTCCAAGAAGCATCTTCAAGATATCGAACATCAACTTGCACAATCCGAGATTCGTGAGATGTTCACGGTTTTCTCTATTGATGGGAACATGGTGCAAATCCAAAACCCCATGTTCGGTGTACAGAGGCCAATCTGGTAAGTAAGCACACACTTGGTAGGCTCATATTTCATTAATCTCATCTACAAATCTAGGAGGCCATATGTAAAGTTTCAAGAGTACTGGCGACTTGTGAAGACAGAACCAGATACCTCCCCCGAAACGTACCACTGCTCGTATCTGGTAGACTGGAGCAATCAAACTGCACGGAACTTTCGGGGCCTCACAGAAAACCAGAGCTCCATCTTTGGACAGGAGAGGCTCTTTTGGAAGGCAAGCGCAAGTTGCAAGTTATTGAGGTTGCGATTTAAAGAACTTCTTGTCTCTAGGAAAGTGACAAAGATTCTATGTTTTGGGTTGGGTGATATGTCCCGCGAACCTCCAGAATGGCTAAGAAGACGGCATGACTCAAGCGATCAGGGATCGGATGCTAACATTCCGAGAGGCAACATGATTCAGCATGCAATAGCTTTGACTATGGCAGAAGTATGTTGCGAGAGCGGTGCGAATGAAGTCCAGTTGATGGCCCAAGATCCCGACTACACGGAGCAAACGAAAGAAATATTGGAGAAGAATGGATTTACGATCGTCGGACAATTCGGAGCTGGAGGCTTTGCAGAAATCGATGAGGAGTCTGTGGTATTCTCTGCCTTTGTCGAAGCGCCACTCAAACAAATCATCGCCGATATCGCACGACCCACCGTGATAATTGGTACTACGTTTGGGGCTTTTAACGACAACGAGTGAGTGATATCTCTTTAAATTTGTTGGCCTTTCTAACCAATATAATATTCAGAAAGCCATGGGCAGACGCAGATTCTCCTCGGACAAAGCAAATGTGGCAAGAATATGAGAACTTTGCATTTCCAATTTCGCCTGAAGACCGTGAACGGTTGAGCAACTTGTGCAAGCTACAATTCTACGTCAGAAAGTAAACCAACCAGGGTACGCCATGGTAGCCAAGTAGCTAATAACCGCGTGGATAACGGAGGAATGGAAAAGAATATTGCGAGGTGTCAATAGGCGCGTAGAAAATGTTGGCAGCGGTGGAATAAATATGCATTCATTGAGGACTACGGCACGTGCGTGCACCCTACCGTCACATAGTACGAGGTCATATGGGGCTGTTCCGAGACCGAGCTCCGGCGCCAGGACGAAGTGGGACGCATCGGGGTGGTCAGACGGGATTGCGGAGGCGGACACGCCCATGTCGGCCGCGAACATGGCAATGTCTGGAACACGTTGTCCGCCATAAGCGAATGACAGGCTGAACGCCATGGCTCGGGCAGCGGCGTTCTTCGCCAGAGACGTCTTGAAACCCCCACGGCACCATGCACATGACAAGGATACGGGGTGCAGCCGAGATCAAACTATCTTGTGGCTCGTCCTGGAGCCAAGCTGAAGGCGCTGGTAGCCTTGTGGAGTTGCTCGCCGCTGGCTGATACCCCAGAAGAGCACCGCCTTCCAACAGGTCGATAATGCCGTTCAGCTTCTGTAGTCCTAGAAGGAAGAGAGGAACAATCTCCCAGGGTGTGTCCCTTCCAAGGGCGCAAGCGCAATCCGCAACAAAGTGCGCCGATTTCCCAACCTTCACCCGTAGCTCAAAGGATCGAACACCGTCGTGTTCGACATTTTCAATCTGCTTCATCACCTTATTAACTGCAAGCTTCGGGATGAGCAGGTGAGCGGCACCGTCCATAGTGTCTGAGCCCGGGTGCTGCTGTATCTTGAGTGAGTGGGAATCGCCGTCGACAGTATAGTCAATAAGCTGCTTTCTGATCTCCGAAAAGCCACCCAGGGAGAATGGCAGTTTGGAGATATCGTAGCAATAGTCGCCGCGCTCAAACACCTTGTTGGAGTCGTTGCCAAGAAGTGGGACACCGCGAGGGTCGATAAGCGCAATATCCTCATCATCATCGGGGTCCAGCCGAGTGAGTACGTTTTGGATATTGAGGTCGCCGTGAATTTCGCTCAGGATCGTTGGCGCAATCCCGACAAGTTCGGGATGGCTTTCTAGCTTCTCTCTGTGGTTGCCTGAAACCCAAACATCGGCCTACCGTTCAGCGTGACAATCTCCTGCTTCGAAATTTTGTCAAGAGGCTCGTCCTGTGCGTAGGCGATTTTGACCCGCCTCTTCATGCGTTGGAAATGCGCCTTCTGGATGAAGTGTGCGTGGAAGCAGGTGGGTGAAGGAGCTTTGATAGGATGCTGTAAGGATAGGCTTGTCTTTGTGGTTTAAGTGTGTATTTAGTACCAGATCATGCCCCCTGACCAATGGATGGAACAAGCAAGCAAGAAGGGAATCTGCCCCTATTCCGCACCGATACAGGATTCCCGACACTTTTGTAGTTTGTGTCGCTCGCGCAAGCTGTTCACTGTTTGCTAGGATCCTGCTCAGACACATCTCTAGAGGAGATACTTCCCTCTAAAGTAGAATACTAGGCGGATGACTGGGGTGGCTACGTCCAAATAGCCGAACGCCTTTACCCTTCCTCTCGGCCCTTATATACTCGTTCCAGAACCGGCTGATCTCCAGGTAGTTAGTAATTATCTGCGGCTGTAGCTGCCCCGGGAACCTTACGGCTAGGGCGTACTATTGTTGCGTGATTGCAGAGCACGGACAATCTTGTATTAGAGATGTTTGAGGTCTGTCTCGGCTTGCTAGCTACATATCTGGGGAGCAGGGCAACGGTGGTCTGTGCACCATGGTTGGCCTGAGGCCAGAACAGGTGGACAGAGATGAATGACTTGATAAAGTTATGTGTCCCAAGCAGGCATGGCTGTGGCCGTGACCGAGATGCAGCGTAGCGATTAGGTAAAATATTGAATAAACTTCCTTAATTTATAAGAAATTATATATATAAGTTGGAGCGTTTAGTTTGCTTTGTTAGAAATATGGGTACATAAATGACACGTGGTGGCCTGTCCTGTTTCCATATCAGCGTTCAACATGGATTATATCCCTGCGGAAGTTTGGGCATCTATATGTCTCTTGTTGCCACCTAAAGATCTTGCTGCATTCAGCCAATGCAATGAACGCTTTAATATTATTTCTACCCAATATCTTTATCGCGAACTCCGGTTAACTGCAAAGGCGGGATCTTTCAACCTTCAGAGCGAAGCATTAATCAGTCTACTCATCCTACGACCAGACTTGGTTTCTAATGTACGAGTTGTTCACTACAACGAACTTAACCCATATGCATGGATGTATGGCCACGCGGCCTTGGTGCAGCGTATTGTGTCTGCTATCTTCCGTGGCTTGGGAGATAATTATGTACAGGAGTTCTCGTCCAACTTCCCTGATGTGCAAAGAAACCAGACGTTCCCTCACCTAAAGACACTCACGTATACGAATGTAAAGCTCATCCAAGAGATGCAATGGATCAGGTGGCAAACTATTAACTGCAAGAGATTAATCTCGTTAAAGCTTTGTTTCACGTCGGCCGTTCCTCAAACCATTCAATTCGGCTTTCAAATATTAAAGAGGTTGTCCCTAGAAAACGCGAATATAAACTTGATACAATCTTTAGATACAAGAAACCTCAAAGAGTTAGAACTGTTCCGGCCTTTCAGGGTTTCTTAAACAGCTAATCTACAATAGTCCAAAGAGATTAGTGTCGCTCCGGATCACAGCACCAGATGAGATAAGGCCTATGCTCATCAGGCTGCTGGCACGATTGGCTGAACACAGAATCTTAAGAGAACTAGTTATACTTCTGCATAAGGCATCCGCTCCATTCCCCCTGGGTGCGGCATTGTGGCATGCAAGAAGTCTTCAGCTCCTGGTTGTAGAGTCACGAAAATGTTCATTGGACCTCAAATCGAGCTACCGTTACACAGTAAAGGATCTCCAAGCCATTGTAAGGAAATGTCCTGCTTTGCAGCATTTGGGACTACCTATCAACCTAACAGATAGTTCACATACTACTGGACGGTATAAACGAAGTCAAGAATTAGTAAGTCTTTCGACTTTAATCCCAGGGTGTTCCTAACTTACGACAAAAGACGCTGCTGCCCATTTGCCAGCTCAAGTCGTTTCACTTCCGAGGCCGTTGTCAGCCAAGATCCAGGGCTGTTGTAGACGCCAAACATGTCGCGCGGGCACTACAGCAAGATTCGGAATGGCATGAGGTCGTTCTTGCAGTTGACCACGAAGGATGGCTGAGAATATTTAAGACTCAGCTTGGCGGAATCATGGAAGTCTTTCGACCGGTGCCCGACTTGCTATCATCACTGTGTATATATTAGCTTGGTCTGTAAGACTATTTCTCCCAGTTAAGTTTTGGCAGGAGAGATGTTATAAATTTTTTTTAATTTTATTTCAATATTGAGTAATATATTTTTTAAATAACTTTTTAGATAAATCATTAATTTATATATATAACGTAAGTAAGAAGCGAACAAGATATATATTATTATTACTCATACGCTGACCCGCCGTATGGACATCTCAGAGAGTCGTCCGGCATGCAGACCTCCTACGATCTATCTCCGTGTGGTAAAATCCAGCAGGGGATGAAATCCCACACGCTACGGTCTAGTTCTGGATTCGTTACGGCGCTGCCGCGGTTTGCTGCAGTTGTATGTCATGACCTTCACCGCCTTGACTAACCTGATAGGGCGCATATCCCTTGGCTCCTGAGACCTCTTCTGGACTATCTGGACGACCTCTTCTAGTGCGCCCTCCTTCATTAGGTTAGCCAAACCTTTCTTTAACGTAGTTTGCTCCTCTGCTCCCCCACGCTGCGCCTTGGTCGCGGTTCGCCCCGAGCCCCGCCCTTCCCTGATCGATGACTGTCAGATGCAGCCGCTAGGCAAAAGGGATTGACACTGACATCAAGTCAGTGCTTATATTTGACAATGACCACCGTCTTGCGCCGTTGCTTAGTGATCTTGGAAACCACCCTTCAAGGTCAATTCGGTAGGTAGGAATACAAATTATTTGATGTGATTGATTGATTGATTGATTGTATTTATCGTGGGTGCAGTCCCTCAGCAGGGCAAACCACGCCTCCCAGAGCCATTGTATCGCAAGGTTGTAGAGGTGTCAGTCGAGATACATTCAGATCTGCGCACGAACCTATCCTCGCTATAGCGGTACCAATATGGAGTGTCCAGATGGTTTTAGTCAATACCCAAGCACGATTCTGTCACAAAAACCTCCTGTCCAGTGACAAAGCGACCCAGTGGACCTCGGTCCTCTGGTGTACACATCGTTCCAGTAGCCGTTCGATATATGTCGCATCGGTGGGTGAATTAGGTGTTTGTTATCTGCTGGCGAGGGAAACCACAAGGGGAAAAACCTTGCAGGAATGGGTGTTGTGGAGACAAGCTGCTTGGCTATCGGGCGACGAGAACAAGTGGGTTCGAATCCTGCTATGGCCCCCTTCTGACCCATCAGCACACGACAGTGGAGAGGCCCCATTATCGCAGAGCCCGATAGCCAAGCAGCTTGTCTCCACAACGAGGGACGCAATATGGGTTGACGTAAACGGGTATTCGTTTCTCAACATCTATAGAGAACCGTGCACCGATGAGATGATCGATTACCTTATCAGCTTACAGCCGTCGCCTAACCTATTTATAGGGGGCGACCTCAATATACGCCATCCAGTGTTCGAGCCAGGGGCAGAAGGCAGAGACCGGGGGGCTGACGTGGCATCGTGGCTTACTGATAGCAGGATGTACTTCACTGGCATTCCAGGCCAAGCTACGATTTCAAGAACTTGACACAGCACACACTCCTGGAGTGACCGTCAAGTGGATTCCTGGACATAGAGATATTGATGGCAATGAAGCTGCCGACACACTAGCAAAAGAGGATGCCATGCTGGAAACAGACACAACAAGCCTTCCTACAATCTCTTGGGTCAAGAGAGATCTCAAAAGAAAGGACAGAAAGGAGTTCAACCAATGGTGAAAAGACCAATCAGAATCTAGGTATCAAGAAGTATACTCACACGCAGTAACTGAAAGAGACCTGATATCTTTTAAGAGGAGTACTTTACACAGACTTCTAGCGGCCAGATCTGGACATGGCGACTTTGCCAGATACCATGAACGCTTTGGGCATACAGACTCGAATAACCACTGCAGTTGTGGTGAGAAGAAAACACCACAACATATTTTCTTTTGTAAGAGGCTGGGGAAAAATCGGCTGCTGCCTAGGTACTCACCTAGGGCAGCTTGTTTACAATACTTAGGGGAGAGGAGCACAGAATGGGCAAAATTCGTGGAGAAGAGCAAGTTCTTTTCAACAATCTGTCCCTGATAGATAGCTTTTCTTGAAGGACCAGATGGGTGACCCTAAGGTCATACCGCCGCAACAACGGGGATGGGCCCGTGAGCGGGACTGACTGTACTTATTATCTTGAGACCTCCACAACCCTGCGATGCAGAGGCTCTGGGAGGCGTGGTTTGCACTACTGAGGAGCTACCCCCCACGTTAAATACAAAACAAACAAACAAACAAACAAACAAAACAACCTCGGCGTCAGACATTCGAATCTCCTGTACCAAATCTTCTAAATTAGCGATCGCCTCATCATCTGCTGCTTCCTTTTTGCCTTGAAAGAACGTACTTTCGTCAAAGGTTACATCCCTGGTTCGAATAACCTCTCCGAGTTGTGGTACCCAGATACGGTAGATGTTCGTAGAATCGTATCCTACAAGGTAGCCAACATATGCTCGAGGAGCCAACTTCCACAATTTGCCAGGTTTTCCTCGCTTTTTGACTCTCCTGCCTTTCTTCAGAGCATACGCCTTGCAGCCAAACGCTCGCTGATGGGCTAGTTGTGGTGATCGTGGTCCTACGAGGCCATCTTTCTCTGCCAGCTGGTTGTAGAAACATTCGTATGGCGACTTCCACTTCGAAATGGCGCGAGGAGTGCGGTTATATAGATAAAAGGCAGCATCCACAATATCAGGCCACAAGTTATGCAGCAACTTGCCTCCCATAGCCCTGGCCTTTTGTACATCAACGCGACCTTGCTTCTCAGCGCGCCAGCTGAGCCCTTCCCTTGAGCTTGGGCAGGCTGCTGAGGTCGACGGCGTCCTGCATGTCCGTCCAGGCAGCAAGCATGGCACCCCACTGGTCGTTGTTATCCTTTGCGAGTGGCGGGTGCTTACCGCGGTAGTAGTAGTAGTAGTAGTAGTAGTAGTAGTAGTAGTAGTAGTAGTAGTAGTAGTAGTAGTTTGATAACAAACCAGGCAATTCTTTTTGCAATGAGTCGTTCTAGGCCTTTGCCAAGACATGATAATAGCGATATTGGTCTGTAGGCCCTGGGGTTGGAGTAGTCTTTCTTGCCTGGCTTTGGGATCATCACTACCTCAGCTACTTTGAATGGTTTAGGGTGGTGTCCAATCTGCAGACAGGTCTGGAAAAGGGCTCTGATATGCTCCCCAATGACTGGCCAGCAAGCTTTCAGAATCCGTACTGTGAGGGTGTCTATTCCCGGGGAGTTGCTCTTGGTCCCTATTGTTTGTTTGTTTTTGTTTGTTTTGTATTTAACGTGGGGGGTAGCTCCTCAGTAGTGCAAACCACGCCTCCCAGAGCCATTGCATCGCAAGGTTGTAGAGGTGTCAAATTAGATACATTCAGATCCGCGCACGAGCCTATCCTCGCTGTAGCGGTACCAATCTGGAGTGTTCAGATGGTTTTAGTCAATACCCAAGCACGATTCCGTCAGAAAAACCTCCTATCTAGTGACAAAACGACCCAGTGAACCTCAGTTCTCTGGTGTACATATCGTTCCAGTAGCCGTTCGATATATGTCGCATTGGTGGGTTGAGTAGGTGTTTGTTATCTGCTGGCGAGGGAAACCACAAGGGGGAAAACCTCGCAGGAGTGGGTATTGTGGAGACAAGCTGCTTGGCTATCGGGCTCTGCGATAAAATGGGCCCTCTCCACTGTCGTGTGCTGGTTATCGACTCGCACAAGCCGGGTCAGAAAGGGGGCCATAGCAGGATTCGAACCCACTTGTTCTCGTCGCCCACCGCACAAACGAGAACACAACCAGGCGCATTTGACCATTGCGCCATACGGCCGCTCTTGGTCCCTATAGTGCACCCTTCAGCCTCTTCTAGTTCGACATGGTATTCAAGGGGGATGTGTGGCTTGGCTTGTGTGATCTGAGCAGACCAGGGGTCGATGTATCGTTGTCTGGGGTATTTCGTTCAAGCGTGGCTAAGCGTAGTGCATTTGCCTTGCTCTCTTGTGACTCAAAGATTTGGTCCCCTATGATGATTGGGGGAGAACGCAATCCTGCTGACAGCTTGTGTCAGGAAACAATTCTGTACAGGTCTTTTGGTTCAGTCGCTGAATCAATTAGAGTCTGCCAGTACTCTCTCTTAGCTTTATGAACCACGCGACGAAATTCCCGTCGGGCTGAATTCCGCCCTTCTTGACTTATAGTCTGTTTAGAAAGGCCTCTGTATGTCTGAATAGCTGGTTTGCAGTCATCATTTCACCAAGCAGTGGGCCTAGATTGACGGGGCTTCTTGCCCACTGTCCTGATACAGCCTTGGATCATGTTGATCAAGCTCTGTGTAAATACATCCACCTGGCCAGGGGATACACCCAGCCGGGGGAGTTCATGGATCCTGGTTTGGACATTATCTGCCAGCTCTTGTAGTTTGTTATCTGGTACTATCCAGTAATTGGCCTTAGAGACTCGGTCCAGATCTTCCTGAATTAGAATAATTATTCGTAATGTCTCATGATCTGAGGTGCACTGAAGTGCATCATTGACTGAGGCTTCAGCCATGGGGACATCTGAGAACACCAGATCTAGTACATTTCCATCATCATGTGTTGGAACATCTGGTTCAGAAATCAGATCCAGTCCATGATCTGCCATAGTCTGTGCAAGTATGACACCACCATGATATCCTGGATTGCTCGAGTCCCAGGATATGTCGCTAGCATTGAAATCTCCAGCTATAACGCAGCCAAAAGGTGGAGTCCATACTTCCAGAATATCATCCACTTCCTGTGGGTTGTCACATGGCCGGTAGACACTAACAAATGTGATGCCTTGTACCTTGACCCAGGTGATGTCTCATGTAGCATAGGGCCGAAGTTGATCCGCTTGAAGGTGTTTTCTCACATAGATGAGAGATCTGGGCCGTGTACTGTCGCTGTCCCAGGAATCCACTGGGGAGTATATATTGTAATTGGGGTGTGTCTTTACTCCCATTCTCCTGTCTGGTGGTATGCCAACCCAGGGCTCTTGTATCAGAATGATGTCTGCTTGTTCTCCTTTGTAGTCAGCCAGGTTGATGGCTAACTCTGTAGGGCCTGCACTCTTTTGTCCTCCTGCTGTATTCACAGAATGGATGACTAGGTGCCCGTGTCGATATGTTTCGTTTGATATACCTAACATTGACTGACAACAATGGTATCGGCATCTCTGGGATGAGTTGTATCTGTTGTGTCGATTTGCATTGTGATGTCTTAGTCGTCTTTGGGACGGCCACTGGCGTATTTGGGGGCCTGTCGTGGAAGGGTGCCATCCAGCTTGTGAGAAAAATTTTCTGCGCCTTGGCAAGGATAGTCAGGTACTGAAATAAATGCCTGTTTTAGTGCAGATATAGAGGTTGCGCCCTAACAGCGGGGCGCCAAGAAAAATAGTTGTTTTTGTGTTTTGCCCTTAGTCACATGCTATCACAATATGCACAACACAGCAATCTCGGCCGCGCTGGAGAAAGCGAAGCAATACGCCAAGGAAGGCAATGAGTTTTCTACCAATCATTTTCTTGAAAAGGCTCAAAAAATTGCTCGAGACGCCGGCCTGCCTGAACCATCTCTCAGTGCAATAGAGATACACAACATGCACAAGATGGCAATATCGGCCGCGCTAAAGAAAGCAAAGCAATACGCGAAGAAAGGCAATAAGTCTTCTGCCAATCAGTGTCTCAAAAGGGCTCAAGAAATTGCTCGAGATGCCGGCCTGCCTGAACCATCTCTCAGTGCAATAGAGATACACAACATGCACAAGATGGCAATATCGGCCGCGCTGAGAGAAGCGAAGCAATATCTCGAAAAGGCTCAAAAAATTGCTCGAGACGCCGGCCTGCCTGAACCATCTCTCAGCGCGGAAGAAGTACACAACATGCACGAGACGGCAATGTGTTAAGAATCAACGACACCACAAGCCCGTCGGCCAGCCCGAGGAAAAGGTGACCTACAAAGCGGCCACAATAGAACAAGGAACGCGACACGGAACGAACTCTAGGCACCTGTCACGTGATTTAAAGAATCGAGATTACAAGACCAGACTTTAAGGACGTGTCGGAACGAGAGCAGGTGTTCGTGAAGTATTTATCAACTGGTTGTTTTTAATGCTCTGGAACGTGACATTGCTCTGTGGAACATGTTGTTTGGTAAGTTCGGGGTCAGCAAGAGGAGGGTCATTCTCGTCTTAAAGATCGGAACCAGGTGTATTGGTATTGGATAAGGGTTCTGGTTCACCCTGAGGTCTAGACGTCACCAATCCTAACCCAAAACCCCATATCTATCCTTTGTGCTAGAATTGCTAGCACACTGTCCTTTTCCCACATACATTCCTTTGTATTTCTCATATGTAAGGGCCTTCTGCCCTTCAGGAACTACTCCTTGTTTCTCTCCTTCAATAGAACACTTTGAAATCTCACACTTCCTTGGTTATGTTATAGCTATTTAGCTACCATGGTTCCTGCAGCTAGAGCAACAATACATTAATAGGCCTGCTATGGTCTGTACTAACTGAGGAAAAGTATATGAATACTAAATAGGAATTGCTGGGAGGGTCAACTGGCTAGTAATAGTCCACTGGTTGGAGGAGCTAGTTTCAGGTCGTCCGGCCACAGGATATGGCTGGCTGACGCTATACGGGGCCTGCCCCCGGGAGCTGCTGGTAGGGTATTCTGGAGCTGATGCCATGTGTGTGCCATAGAGAAGGCCCTCATATCGGGTTTGGCTATTTGGTCGCGTCGTACTACCGGAGCCGGTTGGGCTTTGCTCAATAGTACCTGGGCAAGGATTAGAATGACAGCATGAACACCTGTCCATCTTAAGATTCAAGTAGGATTAACGAAGTAGGTATGTTTCTGAATATGACCACACACGGTTATCTCGTCCATTCTAATTCGTTTTCAGGGGCTTAAGAATTATTGAGAGGTCGTCAAGTCTTTTCCCAGTGCGTATTGCTGCTCAGGCAAATGCCATCTTAAGAGTGGATTTCTCTCCAAAGCTCTGAACTCCCCGGGAGACCGGCCCCAGAGTGTTCATCTTCCGCACAAGAATCAGTTTATGTCGAGCCTCCCGGTAGAGTCAGAGAGGATTGGCAGATCGCCCGCTTCTACCTTCGGGGGAACGGTCACAGGACCGCCGGCAAGGGAAGGCAATGCAAGGCTCCCTCCACATCCGTGTCAATGTGCATCACTGCCCTGGCCGGCATAATAGGTCAAAGTAGCATTGTTGTGATGGTTAGCGACAAAGGTAAACTGAACGCTAGCAACTAGTGTAATGCTTAACATGCTGATGGAATTGCCATTATATGATTATGTCTTAATCCAAGTTGTCCGGCCGTACGTTTGTGTTTGGAAGCAAGTTATCCGACCTCCACACTCGTGAGCATCCCTTCTTGTCATCATACCGATATCTACAGTTCATAAGGCCACATCGGCAAAGCCTTTCAGTCTCTCTGTGATACCAGCGGTTCCGACAAATTCCACATGTCTCATTACATCTCGCCGCGCATTCTGGACAGAACATATGTCCATAGGACATTAGCTTGCTTTAGAAAAGCGGACACCACATAACGTACCGCAATGATTTATCCGCCATTTAGAAGATTTGAGATCGCGAATAGCGCAGTTGGTTCCGACCCCAAACACTCGAAACATGCCCTGGGGTCCGTATTGTGCATATTATAGATGAATACAGAAATGCAAGTCCTTGGACCAAGATGTTGCAATTTTTAAGGACTTCGTATTGCAACAGTTCTTAATGATTATCAGAATAATTGCTGCAATAAAACTTATAAAGTTACAACATGCGGCTGCCGGGTAGAAGAGGACATACACAACCGCAAGATTCCAGAATGCAGCCTTGGTCTGTTACCACACCGCATAATTGACAGCAGCATTCATCATTGCCTGTTAGGTCAATACATCGGCGCTTGGTATAGAGATAGGTAACCTCGTTGTGGCATAGGGTGAGGTTTTTATGCGTCCAAGCAGAGCGCAGAGTCAGGCATATCATGCACCCCAAAATTCATTGCCTGCCCCTATGCAGACAGACTTGACATACGTCCCGCATGCCCCTGTTCAATATCGGGGTAGGTTGCCGGTATTGTGCCACAAACTCCGCCATTTCGCACCACATTGGCGCTTCAACTGTTCGACCGGAAGTGAGGAGCCCCAAATACCTGGAGCCCACCAGATTCGAAATTCGGACACAATCCACAGAGTTGAGCTCTGCTTTGGGACTACACGATGAATCCCTTCTCGAGCGACGAGCGGCAAGCGGCCCGCAACGCAGCCCGTAAGTTACACATTTCCCATCAATCTCCGCCAGTCAGATATAACAACTCTGATCACTGCTCGGGCCTGTATGAGCTGCGAGACCTTCTCACATGCGATTTGTTTTTATTTTGTTGTTGTTTTGGGGGGTTTTTTAATCTTTCTGACCGAAGCGAGGAGCCAAACCCAAACACCTTCTCACATGCATCAACACCGTCTCAATCCCTGCACTCCATCTGCTCAAGAGTAGAAGAGCACTCTTCTCTATGGCTTCCTAGCAGAGAGCTTCCCATAAATGACACTGCATCTGCTACCACCGCAACTATGCCTCGCGCTCACATCACTACCTGGGTGCAGTGTTCCACCAAACACTCACCAGTGCATTCCATTCCACCCGCGTCGGTTTCCCCAACACTGCTGTCTATGCTCAAGTCTACGTATGCAAACTGCAGGGATGAACAGCCTACCAACTTTGAAAAGCTCAATACAATGCTGATATAATGCTTCATTAGTGGTGGCAGAAGATGCGATGAAATAGCTCGAAATGGATGTGTTAAGAAAACGAATACAGGCACGGGAAGCCAGTTGATGATGCCCGTCGAGCGACTAATGGGTACAAGTCTCACGAGCGTCATGGCGGCCCAGCCTGGGATATCGACCAACAGTGTCGACGATACTCGACACACTGGTCCGCCCGAATCGGCGTCGCCGCCACCAGAGAGCCTGGCAGTTGTCTCCGGCCCTCGAGCCGCTCAACCCCAAAGGAAGAGCCGAGCTTCAAGTCCGCCGGATGAACAACCATCATCCAGGCGCATGCGGACTGTAACAGACAGTACAGTCAGCAGTAGCTCTTCATTAGACTGTACCACCGGCAGTGGCTCCGCGATATCGCCTGCAAAGCCACCTTCACCACCTCCGCCTGGTACTCCTTCTATCGATGGCCCCACCGTCGGCCGCTTTTGGAGGGTAAATCTCGAGAAAGCCATCGAAATGCTGCGCTTGTTTCGACCAGAAAACGGAGAATTATGGACCGAAAAAGACCGGGGGGAGGTTGTCTGGGGATTGGCTGCCTTTCTCGCCGTTAATCTCGGTTTCGAATGGTATAGCAAGTCCAAGAAGAACGCCCACGACTGCTTGGACCAGTTCCTCTTGAACGACCCGGAGAGCGCACAGGAGATTGATTCAGCTGCCCGTAACCTTGTGGAGAAGTTCTCAGAACTCGAGGACTTCATGGGCGTGGTCTTTCAGATTCAGCTCATGCCGGGAAGTATGCCATCGTGGTGGAATCGCTGCACTCTCGCGGCACAGCAATCCCTTCCTATTTTACTCAATTCCAATCAATCACCTGGTCGTTATCAACAGCACCATGTCGTCGCCGCAGCAGGGTGCCAATAATAGGACTCATGGAATTTGTCCAGCCCCGCTGCACACCTGAATATTAGTTGATATAAGCCAGCAAGGTGATGCACATGGACCTGCTCTAGTGTGACGCTACCGAATTCACCGCCGACTATCTCTATTGCGAGGGCAAAATACTCGAGGCCAGGGACTACGTCGATGTTTCTCTTGTACGAATGCGGCCCTCTTGCCACGGGGACCGCTCCTTGTAGAGAGGTTCTTCTACACGGGTGTATGCGTTCGTTATCTTCTGGGAGAAAGCAACCCCGAGGAGTGAGACTGTGGCAAGAGCGCAGGGGGCGACCTTTGCGGAGGTGACGACGTAACTCCATTGCGAACCGAGGGAGAATTGTGAGCTACAAGGTCCGAGTCGTAGGCGTTAAGGCCATTCCCTGGTCAACCAAATCATCGTTCGAGAAGTTATCGTTGTCCTCCACGTCGAACAGCCGCTCTCCCTCGCCGCCCCAGTCCACGATATCGTCTTCTGCCCCTCCAATGCCAGTACCAGGCACTACACGTTGGTCTGCAGCATCCACAGGCTCCGGAAACCCCCTTGTTGAGCCAGTCCCACCAGGCCCCAAACGTTTTGAACGTTGTGCGGATGACACCGACGTGGGGACTGAGATGGCAGATAGCGTCATTCGGCCCGCTGTCACGAAGGCTGCTGGGCTTCAGTTTACTGTCATTGGGGTTGTTCGGTCGTGGAAAAGCCGGCTACGCGGCCCAACAAATGTGCCAGTCGTACTGCGTGGCATTAACAAGCATTTGGTGATAGTGCTTTGATTATAGGTCGACACTCCCAGCATTAAGGGGTGAAGGCCTGTTTTCGATTCGACATCCTTCGGCACTAAGCTCCTCCTATCCCACAGCACTCTTATGTTGCAGACACTATCACTGCGAGGTTGACGACACCGTTTGCTTACCTTGCTGTCAGACACGAAAGAGCTACGATCCTTACATCTGTTAAACCTGGCTGGTATCCAAATCGACAGATATTGATGTAGGTCCATCCCAATCACCCGCAAATGGGGCCACCCCTGGTTCTTCCCCTCGGCAATGACAACCGCGTCAACCGGTTTTTTCCTCACAGAAGCCGAGTTGCGACGTATTCACACCCTATTTGGCCACCTTTCCGTTGGCAAGCTCCACAAGCAAGCATAGCTAAGCCCCGTCTGTACCTGTGGGAGCAGAATGATCAACCTCCACACGGCGAACGCACAAGTGAAAAGCACAG